TAGTATAATTTCCACAAATAGTAAGTTTGCAATATCTACGAAAATTGTACATGCAGATACCCTCCAACCCAGCAATACCACTTCAGGTTTTAGTCTATAAATATACCTACACACAAAAAGCAACAAATGTAACATTTTATTCACTGAAGCACCAGCTGTAATAGCAAAATTCTTTAAACAAAGGAGGAAGTACTAGATACACAAAATAGTAAACGAGGTCGAAAATATTATCACATTAACTGGAAAAAACAAAGCATTATTTAGTGCAGTATATAAAGTATGCTCAAATTTGTGTTCAAAGGAAGGGGGAACTTAAGGAACCAGAAGAAGAAACACAAACTAAACCCAAAGCTAGCAGAAGTAAGGAAGTAACAGACATAAATAAAAAAGAGAAGAAAAAAATTAAGAAAAATCAATGAAAACTAAATTTAGTTCTTTAAAAAGATCAACAAAATCGACAAACCTTTAGCTGAATGGACTAGGAAATAAAAAGAAAACTCAACATGTTAAAATGAAAGTGGAAATACTAGCAGAGTTTCTACAGAAATAAAACATTAAGTCTCTCTACAAGAGAGCACTATAAACAACTGTACACTAAAAAATTGGATAAACTAGATGAAATGCACACATTCCTAGAAACACAAAACCTATCAAGACTAACTCAGAAAGAAATAGAAAATCTAAATAGACCCAAAACTAATAAAGAGACTGAATCAGTAATCAAAAATGTCTCAACAAGGAAAAGCCCTGAACCTGATAGCTTCATTGGTGAACTCTACTAAACACTTGAAGAATATCAATCTTTCTCAAAATTTTGCAAAAAAATTGAAAAGGGGACACTTTCATTCTATGAGGACAGCATTACCCTGATACCAAAGCCAGATAAAGACACAAGAAAGCAAACTATAGACCAACACCCCTTATGAACACTGATGCAATCCTCAACAAAATACTAGCAAACAGAATTCAACAGCATGTTAAAAGGATTAGACATCTCTTAACAAATGGGATTTATTTCTGGAATACGAAGATAGTTCAACATATGAAAATTGTTCAAAGTAATACATATCAACAAAATGAAGTGCAAAAAACACAAGATCATCTGAATTGATGTAGGAAAAGCATTTGACAAAATTCAACACCGCTTTATGCTAAACACACACAAGAGAATAGGAGTAGAAGAAAACAACTTCCACATGATAAAAGCCATATATGCAAAACCCACAGCAAACATCATACTCAATGGTGAAAGACTGAATATTTTTCCACTAAGGTCAGGAACAAGGCAAGCATGCCCACTTTCAACACTACTCTTCAACACAGTACTGCAAGTTCTAGCCAGAGCAAGAAAAAGAAATAAAAGGCATCCAAACGGGAAAAGAAGTAAAATTATCTCTGTTTTCAGATATGACCTTATATGTTTAGGGTTTAAAAAACCTTAAAGAGTCCACAAAAAAGCATTAAAACTAAAAAACAAATTCAGCAATGTAACAGGATACAGTCAATGCACAAAAATCAGCTGCATTTTTATACGTAAATAACAAGCAATCTGAAAAGGAAAACAAAACCAAATCCATTTACAATAGCATCAAAAAAAATAAACTACTTAACGAATCTAATCAAGAAGGTAAAAAACTTGTACAATGAAAACCACAAAACACTGCTGAAAGAAATTGAAAACAATCTTAGAAACAAAACTGGAGAACTCACACTTCCTGATTTCAAAATTTACTATAAAGCTAGAGTATTCAAAATGGTAACTACTGAAGCCCACAAGCCTAGAGCCCGTGCTCTGCAACGAGAAGCCACCGCACTGAGAAGCCTGCGCACCGCAACGAAGAGTAGCCCCGGCTCGCAGCAGCTAGAGAAAGCCCACGTGCAGCAACAAAGACCCAACACAGCCAAAAATTTGAAAAATTTTTTAAAAAACCAATCAAAATGGTATAGTATTAGCATAAAGACAAACATAGACCAATGGAATAGAACAGACAGCCTAAAATAAACCCTCGTATACATGGTCAAATGATTTTTGACAAGGGTGCCAAGACCATTCAATGGAAAAGACAGTCTTTTCAACAAATGGCGCTGGGAAAACTGGATATCCACATGCAAAAGAATGAAGGTGGACCCTCACCTAACACAATATATACAAAACTTAACTCAAAATGGATCCAGGATCTAAAGGTAAGACCTAAAACAATAAAACTCTTAGAAGAAAACACAGGACAAAACATTCCTGACATTGGATTTAGCAATGGTTTCTTCGATATGACACCAAAGGCACAGGTCACAAAAGAAAAATACATATTGGACTTAATGAAAATTTTAAAAAATTTGTGCATCAAAGGACACTATCAAGAGCGTAAACAGGCAACCCACTGAATGCGAGAAAATATTTGCAAATCATAACTGATAAGGGATTAATATCCAGAACATTTAGAGAACTCCTAAAACAACAACAAAATCAAAACTATGAGATACCACCTCACAGCCACCAGAGTAACAACTATCAAAAAAAGAAAACAAGTGTTGGCGAGGACGTGGAGAAATTAGAACTCTTATTCACTGTTGGCGGGAATGGAAAATGGTACAGGTGCTATAAAACACAGTATGGCAGTTCCCCCCATAATTAAAAATAGAACGCTGTATGATCCAGCAATTCCATTTCTGAGTATACACCCAAAAGAATCGAAATCTGGATCTGAAGAGGTATTTGTATACCTACATTCACAGCAGCATTATTCGCAACAGCTCAAACGTGGAAGCAACCCAAGTGTCTATCGACAGATGAACGGATGAACAAAATGTCAACACATATATATGCGCGCACAAACGCGCACACACACACACAACGGAACTTTATCCTACCTTAAAAATGGAAGGAAACTCTGCAACGTACTATTGATACAACATGGATGAAACCTTGAGGACATCATGCGAAGCTAAATAAGCCAAACACAAGCAAGACAAATATGTGATCCCACTTACATGAGGTACTTGCAGTATCAAAATCATAAAGACACAAAGTACAGCGATGGTTGCCAGGGGCTGGGGGGAGGACAGAATGGGGCGTTACTGTTTAATGCGCAGAGACTTCCAGTGTTAAGATGAAAAGACTCAAGGGGATGGACGGTGGTGATGGCTGCACACCAATGTCAGTGTATTTAATATCTCTGAACTGTACACTTAACAATGGTTAAGATGGTAAAAATTTACGCGTACTTTACCACAATAAAAAAAAAAAAGAAAAACAACAGAAGGGGGAAAAATATATTTATAGGTTTGTACAGGTATAAAATATCCCTGGAACGATACCTAAAAAATGCCGAACAGCTGGCTCCCACAGGAAGAGAGTACGGTTGGCTAGAGGACCTTGAAGGAAGGAAATTTTACACTGTATACCCTTTTTTGCTTAAATGCTGAGCCCTGTAACTGCTTACCTCCTCAAAAACTAAATAAACGTGCAAAAAATCTTGGCAGCACTTGGAAAGAAATGAATAAATGTGAATATAACTATGACTAGATGTAACGGTTGGTTTTTTGGGGGGGGGAAATCTTTCTTTTTAGAAACTTATGGCATTTACTACCTAAAGAAGTACCTAAATCCGACAAAAAAAACAGGAAAGAAAAAAGAGTTGAGTCATGCTCAATTAAAGGAACTGTTTACTGAATAGTACACTCAACCGCCAACTATTAGTAAACGCTTCCTCTTTTAGTCACGATTTTCATATCCTTTCTCATAACGCCCAAACGTAACTAAAAACTAATGGTGCCAAAGTTAAATGTGAATTATAATAGAATGACTCTTTCCTGAACCTATTAAAAGACATTCCGACACCACTGTAAAGCAATTATACTCCAATAAAGATGTAAAAGAAAAAAAAGACATTCCATATCCTTATTTTTATTCTGCAGCACAAACTATCTGATCTATAATGTTTACACACCGTTCAAAGAACAGAAGTTCGTAGAACGAAGTTGGTAACAGAGCAAATCAAAAAACAAACGCACACATTTTTACCGTCTGCCCTCAACCTCAAAGAGAAAAACTTAAAAGAATGGACACATTTTATTTCACCATTTGTATATACTGGCGATAAAGCTGACCAGGCTGCGGCTGGGTTCCCCTGTAACTTTCCTTTTTAATCAACTGTTTCTTCTTTGAAACAACTGGATGTTGTGAGATTCGTAAACCAAACGTACTTCCTAAGAGAGATACATAATATTAAAAATAACCGGGAACGGCTGTTCAGATGATATACACAGACCAGATAAACCTAGAAATCTCCCGTTAAAAACTAGCACCTTAACAGACTCCCTGCTTAAATGAATCCGTTTTGGTAAAAAGGGAAAACTTTACCCACATCTACATGCCTCCGCCTGCCCCGTATTACAAGCGAATCCTGAAACGAAAGCTGAGAATCGCGACCCTCGAGGGAGGATTCCTGCTGAGCGCACCCTGCTGGGGGCGTTTCTCCCTTTCCTCCAACTTCTCCAGAAGCCAGCGCCCCGCGAACACCTCTCCCCCTCCCCCTCCCGAAAGGCAAGGCTTCGCCCGCGCAACGGACACCTCCTTCCTCCGTCCACGTCCCGACGTTCCGAAGCGGCCACCGAGGAAGGCGACGCAGCCCAGCCTGGGGACGCGGCACCGGGACGGCCCGCAGCCGGCGACTCTCCCCTCACCAGCCCTGGGTAGCTCACCCGACACGAACAAAAAGGGTCGAGGCGGACGGGGACTGGGGGCGGCGGGCGTCGCCCCCGGCCGGGCCCCAGGCTCGCCCTCCACCCCCAGACGGAACCCCGAAACCCACAGGGTGGTGGGCGCTCGGAGGGCGCCGCTCGCGCAAACTTTCGCCCCGGGCCCGGCCGGGCGCCGGGAAGAGCGCGGAGCGGAGCCCACAGAGGGGAAGGCGGCGCCGAGACGCCCTCCGCCCAGCGGTCCGGGGCCCCGCGCCCGAGATGCCGTGAGCTTCCCCGTTCCCCCCGCAAGGGCTGCTCACCGAGGCCGCAGGGACGCACACACTGCAGCCGCCGCCGGTCACTGGCTCAGACTTCCGAGACCCAGAGAGAGGAGAACGGTGCGCGCCCGAGGACCGCCCGCGCCGCGCGTCCCCGCCTTCCGCCCGCGCCTTCCCCCCACGCCTTCCGTCTCCGCGCGCTCGGTCAGGTGACCCGCTCCCCATGGTAACGGGGCAGGGGCGGGGCGAGGCGTGCGCCTGCTCCGCCGCTCCCGCCCACCTGCTCCGCTCTCCAGACAGTTCCCTGCCTAACGGCCGGGGGCCCCCAGCTCACTGCTGATCATCCGCCCTCACGGTCACTTAGTTCCCCATCACCTCCGACACATCGAGAGGCCCGAGAACGTACCGTTCGCCCATTTCCCAGCCAGCCCTAAACTTCCACCACACCCACGGGCTCCGCAACGTTCCTCCCACTAACCCTTCTCGACTCCTGCCTTCTTTGCGTTACAACTTTTTTCTTTGGCATTTATTACTCTTTGTCCGTCTGAGCTGAAGTTTGCTGGTTGTTGAAGGTTATGTGTGGTAGTGCACAAAAGTAATAGCTTTATCCTAATACAAAAACTGAAAAACTATTTCTTAAGGGCTACGTTCCAAGCACTGTCCGAAGAACTTGATGTATAGAGCAGTCTTATTTGGTCCTTACATCAAAGACAGATACAGCATCTTCTTTAACATGCAAAGACACTGAGGCACAGTTTGCCTAAGTTTTCTGTAGTTACCATGGAGTAACAGAGTAGTTGACAAAATAGCATTAACTTAGAAGCGTTTTATTTCTAGCTAAATTATTTAGTGCCATAATAATTTAATCTATGATAAAATAAAAACCTGAGCATAAAAGAGATGACAATAAGATGAAAACTTTGCCCTCAGAGAGTTTGTGGTCTGCTAGACATTGTAAAATAATTGCAATGGAAAAAAAAATTGCAATGGGAAGGAAAACTGGTTTTGTTCACAGATGACATGGTTATGTAGAAAGTCCCAAAGAATTGACCAAAAAAAAAACAACCCTAAAACTAAGAAGCAGTTATAGCAAGGTTGCAGGATTCAAGGTTAACATATAAAAGCCAACCACTTTCCTATATAACAGCAATAAACAACTGGAATTCGAGATTAAGGACACAATATCACTGATATTAGCACAAAAACAATGAAACAATACTTAGGTAAAACTCTAACAAAATATGTACAAAATTTATATGAGAAAAACTATAAGATTCTGATGAAAGAAACCAAAGAAGATACAAATAAATGCAAGGACAGTCCACGTTCATGAACAGGAAGACTTGTTATTGTCAAGATGTCAGTTTTTCCCAACCTGATTTGACACAATCTCAGTCAAAATCCCGGCAAGTTATATTTTGGATATGAACAAACTGATTCGAAAGTTTGTATGGAAAGACAAAAGTCCCAGAAGAGCCAACCCAAACTGGAAGAAGAAGAACAAAGTCACGGGCCTTTGTGTGCCCAACGTCCAAACTTACTATAAGGCTACAGTAGGGACTTCCCTGGTGGGGCAGTAATTAAGAATCCACCTGCCAATGCAGGGGACACAGGTTCGAGCCCTGACCCGGGAAGATCCCACATGCCGCGGAGCAACTAAGCCCATGCGCCACAACTACTGAGCCTGAGCTCTAGAGCCCGCGAGCCACAACTACTGAAGCCCGCGCGCCTACAGCCCGTGCTCCGCAACAAGAGAAGCCACCGCAACGAGAAGCCCGTGCACCGCAGCGAAGAGTAGCCCTCGCTCACCACAACTAGAGAAAGCCTGCGCACAGTAACAAAGACCCAACGCAGCGCTTCCCTGGAGGCGGAGTGGATGAGAATCTGCCTGCCAAAAAAAAAAAAGAAAAAGGCTGCAGTAATCAAGACTGTGGGATATCAGCAATAGAAAAATCGATCAATGGAACAGAATACAGAGCCCAGAAACAGACTCTCACAAATACATTCAATGGATCTTTGACAGAGGAGCAAACGTATTCAATAGACAAAGGGTAATCTTTTCAACAAATGGTACTGGGACAACTGGACCTCCTCATGCAAAAGAAAAAAAATTTTTTAAAAAGAATCTAGACACAGAACTTATCACTTTCACAAAAATTAACTTGAAATAGATCATAGGCCTAAATTTATAACTCAAAACAATAAAATTTCTGGAAGATAACACAGAAGGAAATCTAGGTGACCTCTGGTTTGATGATAACTTTTTAGATACAACATCAAAAGCACAATCCATGACAGAAAAAATTGATAAGTTAGACTTCATTAAAATTTAAAAATTCTTCTTTATGAAAGACACTGTTTAGAGAACGAAAAGACAAGCCACAAACTGGGAGAAAATATTCGCAAAATACGTATCTGCTCAAAGACTTGCAGCCGTGGAGGACATGAAGAAACCTTAAATGCATAGTGTGTGAAAGAAACCAGTTGAAAAGGCTACCTCTTATATGATTCCAATCATGTGACGTTCTGGAAAAAGGCAAAATGATAGCAGCAGTAAAAAAGATCAGTGGTTGCCAGGGGTTTGGAAAATACGGGGAAGGATAAGGTAGGTGAAGCACGGGATTTTTTTTTTTAAGATGGTGAAGCTATTCTGTAGGATACTAGAATGGTAGATACATGACATTACAGACAATACGTGGTATAATTATATACGTATATATATATTTAGTCTTTCAAAAACCCTTGGCGTTTCACGAGTGCCAGTGTGTCCTTGTTATGCTAAGGAGGTAGCTCATGGCTGAAATGTGGGTGGGGGAATAGGGGCCCTAGAAAGCTTCAGGATGGAGGCTGGTCACCAGAAAGACCAAGCACAAGATGACAAGGTTGGTACTTTCAGGCCCACTCCCCAACCTTCGGGAAGGGGAGGGTGCTGAAGAGTGAGTTCCTCTATGGGCCAGTCATTTACTCAATCACGCCTACGTCATGAAACCCCAGATAAAAAGTCTGAACACCAGTGCATGGTGGAGCTTCCTGATCATAGTGAACATATCACTGTACCGGGAGAGTGACGCACCTCCAACTCAGGAGACTGAGGCTTCTGCGCTTGGGACTCTTCCAGACCTTGCCCTGTGTATCTCTTCCTCTGGCTATTTGTGTACTTTATAAGAAAACCGTAATCCAAAGTCTAGTGCTTCCAGTGAGTCACTCTAAGCACCAAATTTGAAGGTGCATTGTGGGAATCACCGGATTTATAACCAAGTTGGACAGAAGTGCTGACATCATGAGGATGCCATCTGTGGCTCCTGTGTGATATGGGTGCAGTCTTGTTAGAGACCTTGTCCTTAACCTGTAGGATCTGACACTATAACTCTGGGTAGCTAGGGCCAGATTGAATGAAATTGTAGGACACCCAGGTGGTGTCAAAGAATTGTTGATGGAATGGAACACACTGTACAATGCCAAGGGTGAACCCTGATGTGCAACAATGTATCAATATGGGTTCATCATTTGTAACAGATGTACAACACTAATACCAGAGATTAAGGGTGAACTGTGGGGAGATGGGAGTACTTGAGAACTCTGTACTATTTGCTCAATTTTTCTGTGAACCTAAAACTGTTCTAAGAAATAGTCTATTAATTTAAAATATAACAATTAAATAGAATTGTGATGGGTGTTTAAGAAAAAGCTCAAGGGCATATATAGAATGGATAAACAAGGTCCTACTGTATAGCACAGGGAACTATATTCAATATCCTGTGATAAAGGAAATGAATATAAAAATAGATATATGTATAACTGAATCACTTTGCTGTACAGTAGAAATGAACATTATAAATCAACTGTACTTCAGTAAAATAAATTAAAAAACAAAAAAAGTCAAGGGACTGTGGAAATATACAAGGGAACAAAAATTAGTCTAAGAGTTCAAGGAAGGCAAATTTGAAGATGTGAAATTTTAAACATTAAAGAGAAGATCCTAAAAGTTCCCAGGTAGAAGAAACAGGCCATATACCCATGACTGAGAATCAGAATAGATTGGACTTCTCAACAGAAATGCCTGAAGCTAGAAAACAATGGAGCAATGCCTTCAAAATTATGAGGGAAAGTGATGTCTAACCTGGAAGTCTATCCTGGGCTAAACTATGTCATTCCAGTTTGATAGAATGAAGACACTTTGATATCAACCAAGGAATCAACAAGCTCCTCTCTCATGTTCCCTCTGTCAGGAAGTAAACGACAAAGGAAATGTACACTTTGCTGCACTTAGTAAGAACACTACAAGAAAGGAAAACTGGGATGAGAAGGTTCCCAGAGCACTGGAGAGAGGCCCAGAGAGTCAAAGGACAATGTTGAAGGGAGATTCTAGGATGATGGCTATGCAGTCCCACATGAAACTGGGTGATAGAAGGCTCTAGGAGGAATGTCTCCAGAAAAAGTAATAACTTGTTTTTGTTTTGTTTTTTTTTGGGCCATGCCACACAGCTTGCAGGATTTTAGTTCCCTGACCAGGGATGGAACCCACGCCCCTCAGCAGTGAAAGCGCAGAGTCTTAACCACTGAATTCCCCAAAGAATAATAATTTGAACATTGGGAGGGATTCCTGCTTCTGGGAGTGGGGAGGTGAATTAATGATAAGAAATTAGAGTACAAAGCAGTGAAAAAAAATGAGGAAAATTGACCAAGAAATGTAATCACTCTACATGACTCATCTTTGAATATTTATGTAGACATAGTAAGATCAAAATATTATCGGTTTAGAGTCAAACCGTGATCATAAATATATTAGCTACAGCTGAAATGCAGTTATTTTCCAGAACATGTTACTTTCTTTAGAACTTTCAGTGGTCTGATACAAAAATAGACCACAAATATGAATATACGCTAACAATTACCATGGTAGGGCATGACTACCCAAGGATATTACTGCACATTAAAATCTCTTTAATATTCCATGTACAGTGGAAACCTAAAGTACAGTGCTCTTACTTAAAAGGATGCCTCTTAGATATCTTTCTGGTTGATAATGTTGCATATGGGAAGGAGTAAAGAGGCGCATGCATTTGTATTCAATTTTCAGAACTGAGAATTTTGTCTTTTTAAGGTTCCTGAAATATGAACACTATCTTAATTAGCAGTGTTATTTCTGAAGATTTAACTTCATCAG